TGTAGACTAGTGAATTTTTTTTGACATTTTACTGTGTAAACGACAATTTACCAAACACCATACACCATGTGTATGGCACTATGTTATGCCATAAAAAAAAATTAAATATAGTTTTTGTTTGTTTTTTTAACGATTGGCATCGCATGAGGGATTGAGGGATATGATTTAATTATGGATTCAAAAGCTGGATTTGTCAAGCATCGACTTGAAAATATAACGTATGAGTCTATACTCAGAATAGGTGCATCAGGATGTAAATTGTCCTGATTGTTTGACAAACAACCATTTATGCAGACACTCACACCTAAGGAGAATTTAGAGAAGCCAATTAATCTAACAGTCATGTTTTTTAACTCTGGGAGGAGTCCAGAGTACCCAGAGAGAACCCACACATGCACAGGGAGAACATGCAAACTGCATGTAGAAAGATCTCAGACCGGGAATCGTACCCAAAACCTTCTTGCTGCAAGGCAGCCGTGGAACCCACTATTCCAATGTGTAGCCAGTGTCCTGCATCCCGCATCACTAATTACAACATGCCAGCTGCCTTTTATCTAAAACTCAGAAATAGTCAGGTAAAAAGTGATTTGATTTGGATATTTGAAAAATAAAACTAAAGCTACCTATAAACCCAGTGATCCTGGTGCTACAGTGTTTAAAAGTAAATAATGCAGAGCAATATATTGTTATCTATAATATCTATAGTCAGGTTAATGAGCTCAACAATCAAAATTAGAGCAATACAAGTTCAATTTATTTTTTTCCCAAAGTGAGAGCATAGATTTTTGTTTTTAAAGAAAATATACTTCTTACTTATTGTATTATGACCTGTGGTGAAAATAAAACAAAGAAATAATGGTTGCAAGTTTTTTAAATTATAGCATCTTTGCAGAAGTCAAGAGTGAAATTCTGTAACATTCTTTGCAAAACAGCTTAGGTGCATTCCCATGGGTGTGTGTGTGTGTGTCCTCTGGTAACGGATCTTGTGAGAGGAAAACCTCCAAGTCTTTTGCAGACTGTAAAAAGTTTTTTTCTCCAGGATCACTTGTATTTAATCTTCCATCCATCAGTCTCACTGCACCCACTGAAGAACAGCATTGCCACAGGCTGATGTTTCACTGTGAATTAAACATTGCCCTATGACATGTTTAAAGTTTGCAATTGTTTTATAGCTTAAACTCACTTTAAATTTCATAATGGCCCTCATCAGTTTAGGTTGCTCAGTAATGTTTTCTAGCATGAAAGAAAATTCTTCTTTAGATTTATATTCAAAGAAAAGTCAGATTTATATATATATATATATATATATATATATA